GTTAAAGGGGCATGGTTGCAATGCGACAATGCGGAACCCGGACAGCCTGAGAAGATCGAATGGATCCGGTTACTCAATGGGGAACCCGACCCTGGAAGCTACCTTGTTCTAGAGTCCAAATACGGAAACCCGATCATGATTCCACGCTTTCAAAAGCTTGAGAGCTTAGCGGTTGAGGTTCAGGACGATACCTACTCCGAGGACGACGCCAAAATCTCAAAGCTGTTGGGTATGATCGAGGAGAGTGGTGTTTACCCAGAGTATGATAACACCGAGTGGCAGGAACTCTTCGAGGAGATCGTGTATCGCCGAGCGATGAAAGACTACGATTCAAGGCCGTGTCCTAACTGTCTTGGCGAAGTCGATGTGCGATTGACGATATGTCCGCACTGCGTAGCGGTTTTGATCGCGAATGGGAAGCTCACACATGTGGTACCCAAGGAGACAAGGGACCGCAATCAACGATCACCTCCGAAAGATGTCCCAGCCAGTTCTTCCGGTGAAACAACTTCTGCTGCAGGTGCAAACATCGATGAAGTCATCAAGAACGCACGCAAGACAGCCGAAGAGGTCATTGAGATCGAGGAATCCGAAGGAGAGGAAGAGGAGGAAGTTCCTATCATTTTGAAGGAACGACCGGACGAAGCTGAAGGCGAACCCGAGTATCGGGAGGTCCCTCAAGATGGATACGGGAATGAACTTCCGAAGCCTTTCCCCTTCGCAATTGACGAACTGCCGCAAGAAGCTGCGATCCCCATCGACCACAACTTTGCCGTCACACAGCAATTTGATCTGAGGTTGATGAAGTTGATCAAGGGCTTGGCCAACGCAACGTTCGACATCAACTGCTTTGAAAGTCGTGAAGATGTACTGCGAATGTTCGACGATGGACAGCGGCATGACACTCCGCACAATAGATGGCCAATAGTACCGAAAGATCCGGATACTGGGTTTCCAAGACGTCTCAAGAGAGACGAGGAATCTACTTTCTTGGAACTTGGTGTTTTCAAGTTACTTGGTGTTTTGGGGTTTGTGGGTTTGAGTGTTCCCAGAGGAGCTTGAGTGAGCATCCCATTTGTATGACTGTCAACTGATGCTGTCAAGTGAACAAAAGGCGGCTCAAGCAAAAGAATCCGCAAACGACCCCGCGATCTGCGAGAAGGTTCTTTGTTTTGTAGTTGAATTTCAAAATTTATGCGCCCCCTCTCGGAGCGAGCCCTCTTCTGAGAGGGCGGCGGGTAGTTTCATGTGTTTGTGCGATGCATGACAGTATGTGCATATTATGTGCAGCAAAGCAGTTCACTCGACGGAGTCATTGTTACAGACAGTAAATGTTGTTCCATTGATTTTTACGCTGTTAATGTAATCTTGTTTGATGTCTTGTGTCATGCTTCAGTTGTGGCAGCCAGTAAGTCACTTAGTAGAAACGTCCTTTTGTTCTTGCCCTGCTCGGTGCGAATATTGCTTTTCTCGGCGAAAGCATCACTTGGGTTCTAGAAGTCAGCAAATGCCAAGCAAACCATAGCAAACCACTTTCCTCTTGCTGCTTGCCCTGTGCCAGAAGTGGGGCAAAGCTTCCTCTTTGCTGTTGCTGCTCTCCGTGCGAATGCTCTTTAGTTTCCAGAAGTAAGACAAACCTTTCTCTTTGCTCTTGCCTGTCTCGGTGGGTTTTTCTCGACTGGCGCGAGCATTTTTGGGGCCGGTTCCAGAAGTGAGACGCTGAGACGCACCACAAATCGGCCATGAAGCGTCCAGCTTCATCGTTTCGTCGCCCTGCTGCGGCTGCTGCGGCGATGCGCCGCCCTGCTGCCTTTGTCAAGAAGGCCAAGAAGGACGAGACAAATGGAGGCGTGTCAGAGGATTCTATGCTGCGTGCTTCTGATTCTGATGCGGAAGAGGGGGATGCAGCAAAGAATTTTGGATTGTCCAATTAGTTACTTTGGTAAGTTAAGATTTTAGTTTTGTGAAGAGTTGTATTGGGTACTGAAAAATGCTGGGTCGAAGGGGTGGGCGCAGTCTGTCTAAGGACAACGCGGGAGGACGATGAACATGCCAGTGTGTTTCAGGATTCTGATGCAGAAAACGTTTGCGAAGGGGAAGGCCTCAACTTGACAACGCCGGACATACCAGAGATTGGGGTTTCTGAGTTCGAACTAGTGCAATATTTAGAGTTTGAGTGGGTCTCTAACGTTTCTGAAGGGCAAGGAATGAATCCTGTAGCATTTTTTACAGCCAGAGGCAGAGAGGTCCTAAATGTGAATGGCCAAGGTTGGACACTTCGTCGACTTTTACTTGAACGAGCACCCGGACATTGCGCAGCGGATTGCCAAAGCTCTATCAGAGAGAGCCCCAACGGTTGGTTCGGTCTGTACTGGGTGGGGTGTCGGCGACATGGTGGTCCACGCGATGGTTGATTTTTTCGAGAAAAATGACAAGGCTGGACTATTGTTCCAAGGGTGAAGCAAGACATGATGTTACAAAGTGTTACTGTAATCGCTGGTAAGAGGTTCAGAGGTGCATGGTGACCTGTTAAACATGTTTTAGTCTATGTTGCTTTTAAATGTAGATGTTGCTGGCCCAGCTATCTATTTGTCAGGCCGCGTCGATGACAGTGGACTTCATGTGCGAGTGCGAGCCGTTCAAGATCGATTGGTTGCTGCAGGCATTTCCGGACACCTTGCTCTTCAATGATATGAGAGACCTGTCCACAGGCAGAGCATTCGACGCAAAGTCTAAGAATTGGGTTTCCGTGCCGAAGGCTAGGGGTTGGAAGAAACCAATAGCATGTACTATATCAAAGTACCACTTTGTTAAATAGAGTTGGAACTATGCACACGGAGTTTGGCCGCCATGTGTCATGAACTCACCCTTCAGGTCGACATTGTGATCGATGGGTTTCCATGCAAGAGCTTGTCCAAGCAGAACTGTCATGCTCAATCTTTTCTGGACACCAAGTCTAAGACTGGAGAGGGCTACCAGAGTTTGCTCGCTTACGTGGACTATGCGCAGCCCAAGGTAATTGTTTGTGAGAATGTTGCAGTGATGCTTCACAACCGACAAGGCTTTGGAGGTGAGAAACCAATAGATATTCAGCAGGAAGCCTTTCGTCGCAGGGGATATCATGGTTCCTTCCAGCTGATGAATAGCAAAGACTTTGGCCTTCGACAGTGCCGAACTCGCGTCTATTCGGTCTATGTGAAAGAACTTGAAGTGAATCTCACCCGGTACCTAGGATGATTTCAGGGTCTATTTTTTGAAGTGCGCATATTGATTGACACGCTGTGAAGGGCTAATTTCTAACCCAAAAGGTTCTTGTTCTCCAACCGCTTCTGGTTCCGCCATAGGCCGCCCAGCAGTTTCTTCGATAGCTTCAAATGCGGGCTGCTTCCTGCGACGATGTTCTTGGACCGCGTTGCTCGTGGTCCAGATCCAGGGAACTTGCACAAGAGTGGCGCTCGCAATCGGCAGGGCGACAAATGGAAGACTGGCTTCAAAGAGCGATGCGAAGATCTTGGCAAAGTGCCCAGCCATGCTTTCCAAAAAGTGTTTGTTTGGCTTGTGGTTCTCGGAACTTTTCTCGCTACTATTCAACATGATGTCACCCCCTTGGCACAACCTGGATTGAATTGTTCGGTGTGCTGAATGTTTCGCGGGTGGAACGGGTGCTAGGCGGTTGTGATGGCCAATATGGAGAAGGTCAAGAGCTATAGCATTCCGTTGACTGAGCGGGAGTACTCCTTGTTGGCGGTGATAGTCACAGAACTGGAGGTCGCAGGCTTTTCGCCCTATGATGACATGTTCTGCGTCCAAGTGGATTCTTGCATTAATTGGGACATTTGTGTATGCAGGGGATGAGGGGGTCAGGAACTTTGTGTCAAATTGCAAATTTTTCCTTCTTCACTCTCAATCTTTTTTCCCCTAACATCACTGTTAATTTCCCATCTCAGGACCAAAACTTTCACAGAGCAACTTGGACCAAGTCTGACCCTGGATGCTGCCCTTGCCTTCTACCACAAGGGAAATATGTCGTTACTGCAAGGTGGACGCTACTCCACGCGCAGGTGGGTGGGTTGAAATGTCTGTTTCCTCACTGCTTGCGCAAGGGTGTCCCCCCGGAGTTGGCTCCGTGCGTTTGGTCCAGTTCACCTATTATCATGGTTTCCTTTGGGCCCTGCAAGGAGAAAATGAAACTCCAGGGAGTGGGCATGGACGAGTACAGGCGGTATGGAATGAAGCTTCTAAAGCAGCGACACCTTGCAGACATGATTGGAAATTCGTCTCTTGGTTGATGCAGTGTGCATGTTGATAAGTACAACAATACACTTGCAAATCCTTTTGAAAAAAACACAAGGAACTCAGAGTCGCCTGTGCCGTTCTAATAGCATTGAGTTGAACTTGAGTCACTCACGGTCGTGACACCAAGCATCAACCCATCGTGCTTTGGTTCCCTTCAGGTTCTCATCTCCAGTTTTTGCGGCAGCCTTCTTTTCGGCATTGGCGGGCTGGCGGCAGGGACCTGAAGGATGAATGATGATGAATGGTGGTGTCCTTTGTCTCGCTTAGTGCACCTGCATTTGGCATAGAGGCCTCGCTGTATTTTTGCCAAGAAAGTACATACCTGGCTTCACATTCAAACTCACATTCTGGGGTTGTTGTTCCACTCATGCGAGGTCCAGCACATTGCAGATCAGGTAGTTAACTTATCCAGTCGCATAATTACTCGGTGTCAGTCATGCATAGCAACTGGCATCATTGAAGTACATGCAACACAAGCCTTGGTGGGTTTGTGTGAAAAAGATGTGTTCACATCTTGTGATCAGTCGATGGCTTGTGCATGAGGCCATACAAGTGTGTTTTTGGCGTAGCAGTTTGCATCAGTTCTGCAAATGTGTATTTCATTGAATTTGTATCCAAGAATTCCAGAGACTTCCGCTCTTCGATTGGTTCAATTTTGGAGGGTTTTTTGTTTCTGCCACGCCTCTTGTCCTGAGCTTGTCACGATGCCTCCACGAAAAAAGGCGAAGGCGTCCAAACAGGCCAGCGCAATCGCTGCAGGGACAGAAACTGTGGCCGCACCTTCTGACATGAGTGATGCCCCTGGCCTCATCGCAAAGACCTTGGAAATCGTCGAAGGCATCTTTTCCCTGAGGCACTCCGATTCAAAGATGATCCACACCAAGCCAGCAGGTGGTCTTGAGCCGAAAGATGGAGTTTTCGCATGGCCAATCCTGCACGGTGGAACCTTCAAAGAGATTGCGCAGCGTGCATGGTTTGAACCGGACCGCTTGTTGGAGCTTTCAGCGAAGCTGGTGCGCAAGTGTGGGCTGACAGATTCCGATGACCAAACTGAGTTCTTGCAGGAGTTTTGCAAGGTTGAGGCCTGTCGGATGAAGAGCTGTTGCATGAATGAGTTTTGTAAGATGGATGCCTGCTTGGTCTAGTTTTTATAGTTTGTTGCAGACACTTTGCAAGATAAGGCCCATGTGTGTGTGTGTGCAGGAGTTGTGAAACCACGGCAGTGCTTGGAATTATGTGCAAGTGGTAGTGACTCATTTGAAGGGTTTGAATGGGGAAACAAATCATTTCAAGAAAGAACATGTGTCAATTGTTCAAGTTTTGCTGGACCACACTGGGAGGTGTGGCCACCGGAGAAGGGATCCCAGTTCAACACTTCGATATTGAGCTGGTCATTCGACGACGGCGCGTTCTGGCGTGGAAAGGCAGTGGCCATGTCTGAGGTGGTCAACTACGCTCGCAGCATAGCTTCGACCAGGTTCAGAGAGGCGCATGGGGTGGGGGGTTCTGCCGCACAATTCAAAAGACCTTGGGTGGATACACAGTGGCGGTGTAATCAAAAAACTCTTTAGGATGCAGCGCACTGCAACCTCCACCACCAGCCGTCATGGCTTACTTTCTTTCACAGCTGTTGATGTACTATATGTCCACAAGGTCTTGACTGCAAAGGTTCAGCATTTGTCATGTGTTGATATGAGTACGAGCAAGGAAGAGCTATTGACACATAATGCACTTATTGTGCCACATTGTCCCCTATGGGTAAGAAAGCAAGCAATGGCGTGTCCTTGTCAACGCTTTTGCGGCGACCATGCCAGTGCTTAGCGCGTGTATGCTACCAGCAGTTCTCCAACGCGCAAGAGCATGTGGAGCAAGCCAGAGCTAAGTTTCATTCCTTGCCTAGGGAGAAGAAAGATTCTTGGACTTTGCTTGGCTTTGTTGACTGCCACGAGTTCAATCATGAATTTTCTATTTGTTTTCCCCCGGGGATGGGAGGAGGAGGCTTTGATATTTCAGGGATGGGACTCTGCAAACAGGGACGGCAGGAGAATGCGATTTGCATCAGGGAAGGGACCCGTTTGTACACCCTGAAACAGTCTGTCTAAGGGACAGGAAGAAAAACTATTCAAAGGTCGTTTCCTCCCGTCCCTGAAGCAGAAGAGCTTTAACTTTGGACGCAGGTCATGAAGGGGTGATAGATCTAGTCATTGGGCGAGTGTTTGTCAAGATGTTGGCAACACCAGGAATCTTGGTTGGCCGAAGCTTTCAATTGTGCAGATGCTTACTCGTGGAGTGGGCCAGGAGAAATTGAACTTCAAAGCGACATTTTGTACGAGTCTGGTTCAGGTGAGGGGTCACCTTTCTATGCGACAGATGAGGAACCTGACACTGAGCCTGCCAATGATGACAGCTCTGACGAGGAAATCTTGTATTCTTCTGATGACAGCGGTCGAGTTCGGCCACCCCAGAAGCGAGCGCGGTACAACACTAGACGCTCTGAAAGGGCCAGGTTTCTTGGACAACCAGTGTGCTGTCGAGCCCTTTTGGGATTGCTCGGAGTGGGAGGGTCAACATTGCAGAAGCTTCGTCATGGTGAAGCAGTTTTTACAAACAAGTGCCGCCGTCCACTTCCGAAACATCCCACATTTGGCTTCACACTACGTGCGGACGTGGTGCAGGTGTGGGAACACATCGTCATGTATTTTTACCATGTGTACCACAGTTCTGCGGAAGTGATGCCTACAAATTGGTATATGGTGAAATCTGCAGGCACAAACCAACTTGAAACTCCATTTCCAGAGGACTTGCCCGATGCAGTGCAAAAGGCCGAGGACCTTCAGCGCTTGGTCAATTCGATTGGAAGGACTTTGAACACCTTTTCAATGGATATCCAAAGCCAGTTGATTGGCCCTGGAACTTTTTGCGGGCCTAGGAGGTGCCTTCAGCATTGCACCCGGACAGATTTGTATTGGGAATACAGGGCATTTTGCCAAAGCCGCAGCATCAATGAAGCTTCTTACTCGTCGTTCATGCGCATTGCGAATGCTGTAATGAAGCCAGGCCTGAGAGACGGCCACTTACGATTTAGGAAGCCTGGCGAGCACGCGCAGTGCGACTATTGTTTCCAAACACGAGACCGCATGAGAGCTGCCAAAGGTGAACAAGCCAAAATCGCCATTGAGAGAGAACCTGTTCGCCACCAGCTGGCCCAATGGCAAGACAGACAAGTCTACTGGGCTTTTCGGTCGCTTTCGCAAACCTTCTTTACTGATACCCTTGCCAACACCGCTGAGCTACTTGGTGCTTTGTAATCTTGGCAACATTCTGTCGCATGTTCTTTTGTCTTTTTTTGTGGCAACCATTTGATAACGAATGCAAAGCTTATTATATAGTTGTCACAACCAACGAGCAAAAGGGACAACTTGTAAATAGCATGTTTGGCATTTGCAGATGTTCAGCCTGTTTGAACATTGATCACCCAATGTCGGACAATAAGGTTGGGCTGCCTTCCCCATGTGAGCACTTTGTGCATCATCATTGATGGCATGGACCAAGCAAAATTCCGGACGCCGAGAGTGAGAAAGAGAGCCTCCAAACTTTATGAGACCCTCCACAGACCAGCGTTGCACGTAAGTGCGTCATGGGCGCATGGATGGGCTTTGGCCCTTGCAATTGCAGATGAAGACTTGAAGAAGAACAGTGAATGCAACATAGAGCAGATCAGCCGCACATTCGATTCGATCTTGCTACAAAAGCAAGCTCTACCAACGGGTGTCAATGTGCAAGCTGATAACACATATCGAGAGGGGAAGAATCAGTTTATGTCCAGCTTTGCTATCCTCACCATCGCCCTGGGCTGCTGGCGTCATTTTACATGTTCCTTCCTAAGGAAGGGCCATAGTTATTCGGTTGATGTTGGCACTTTTTGCTTTAAGATGTGTTGCATTTTTGGTCAAAGTGTTTACTGTGGCGTTGGAAACCGCAACCTTGAGAAGTTTTTTAAATCTATATAAAGCGTGGGTGGTGCACATGCTTCTGAACTCAGGCCATGAGGATGTTGATCAGTACTTTTCGCAACTGGCAGCTTACCTGACTCCGCTTGAATTCTCAACGCCAGAAGAAGCTGTGGACTTGCTTGACTCCTCGTCCCGACCGGAGAGTGCAGCGGCTTTGCAGAGGAAGCAAGCAAAGCGGACAAAAGTTTGCACACAGGCATACAAACTCGATGAGGTTGCGAACTGGAAGCATTGGGTGGGCGTACTTGGCATCCGCCTTTTGGGTCTTCGATGCTCAGAGTGTCAATAAGAGAGAACATAAAAGCAACCCCCCGGTTTATCTCCTTTTAATAATGGGGTTGCTTGTATGGACTGTTTGACATCTTTTCGATATGATATTATATTTCAAGCATTTTCAACTCATGTAAATCCCATTGGAGCCACCACCTTGTTCTCTTGCATGTTCTACTATACCGTTTCCTGCTGTTGTTCAGAGGAAATGTTGGCCAACTTCGGTTCTGCTTGCGGCAAGACGTTGATGCTGCATCGCTGGGGAGGTGTGAGATCGAAGAGTTGCCTCGCCGAGATCCGCATGGGTCAGACATCTTGCTGATTGCCAAAAGGTTCATGGCAGATTCCGAGCCTTTCCGTGTGATTTGTTTAGTCTCAGCCGAGTTCTGCCTTTCCTTGAGATCTTCCTTTCAACAGCCTGTTGGTGTTGCTGACCGAAGAGCGAAAAGTGAACAGCTTGTGAAAAACTTGATGTCCAAGGCTCCAGCTTGTCGAAAGCAAGGAGCAATCACTTGTGAAGCAGAAGCGTACTTGATTGGATGGGCTCAGGGCTCATGGCCCAGAATTCCCAGGCCCGTCAAGTACAAGTTCCTGGAGCTGCGTCGTTTTGCCATTGTCGGTGCTGGCGAGCCCAATGACATTGTTTGGACCGCCCCTCGCAGATTCCAAGTGTACACCCTTCTCAGGAGTGGTGACGAGTCAGACGATGGGGATGATGATGCCCCCTTGGAGGTTTGACTCCGCTTGTGAAAAAAACATGTGGGGTGTGGGGGGTTTCATTCCGCTCCGACGCCAAGTTACATGCAGTTGTTTTGCAGTTGTCCAATGTATAAAGGGTTTTCACCAAATCATCATCATGGTAAACAATGATACTTCACTCTTACATCCAAAAAATAAAGAGCCTTTTGGAGATAACATCTAGCCTAGGGTGTTACTGCTCCAGCGTTTCAGTAAAGCTCCATTGTAACAGTGACTGACTGATTCCCCAGAAGCTAGGTGCTTTTGGTTGGTGAATTTTTTGCCGAGAAACACCTTATGGCGAATCTTCAAACCAAGGGTTTCGGCGAGAAAAACTTCATGGCGACCAAAGGTTTCGGCGAGAAAACCCTTATGGCGAGCCGTCCATGGGACGGCTCTCCCATAGGTTTAGGCGAGAAACACTTCATGTCGACCAACAGTTTCGGCGAGAAAAACCTTATGGCGAGCTGTCCATGGGACGGCTCTCCATAAATGCAGCGAGGCTAAACCCTAAACGTTTGGGCGATATATAAAATTATCTGCGGCAGCGTAATTTAAGGGGTCTAAAGGTTGAGTAGTGTGGTTCCAGGGAAAAACTAAAGTCAATCTCATCGCAATCAACCGCTTCAACTTTCAACCCATTCACAGTCAGTTCAACTTCAGATTCACCTCGATGACCTTCCAGGTAGCCATGATTCAACTGTAGTTACAACTTGATTTATGGAGAGTGTTCCCGCGGACGGCTCTCCATAAGAAGTTGTGTGGGTTCCAGGGTCGGTACACGAGAGTCCTGGGTGCATGCACCCTCGCGTAAGCCCCCCAAGTTTGTGTCCATTTGTTATGGAGACCGTTCCCTAGGACGGCTCTCCCAAATCACAGCGGTTCTGGCACTCAGGTTATGGCTAGGTTTTGGCACCACGACACTTTCGAGTCATTCGACATTCCTTGCTAAAGTTCCCTGTTGCAGGGCGAGACTCTTTGCTTGCGATTGCCCGGACCATCTTTGAAGCCTGTGAACTTGGCCGTGGGGTCATTGTATTTCCATGACGGCTCCCAGAAAGCACTCGCTGCTTTCATTTGCTGGCTGGCTTTACTTCTTGCCAGCGACAGCCCAACGGTGGACGAAGGTGATTTTTATCACGCGCAGGTCATCACATTGGTGAGTTCTTTGTTGCAGATTCGCACGGTCTTCAAAGCAAGTGTGGGGCAAGGTGACGAGATTGATTCGGCTATTAGCCGTATTGTGAAGCAGAATGTCGACTCCAAGGTGCAGCCTGTGAGCAGCCTGACGTGGGCGTCGATTCTTGCGACTTTAGGCGAAGGAACCAGCCTGGAAGCCGCCATTGCGCGGTATAATCAGCACCCAGAGGTGCAGGCTTTCGAGGGAGGCGGTGTTGGAAGCATATCTCTTGATGGCCGCAAGCGGCAGGCCGGAATTGAATTGATTGGGTGTCAAGCTTTCGTCGTCGCTAGGTGTAATGTGTTTTTTTGTTTTGGTTTGCGTTCTGGAGCCACCCCGTCAGCATTGAGTATACCAAGTATACTTTCATATGAAATGCGTTCGAATGCGTTGCCACATATTATGTAGTATGTATGGCGGGCAGGGAACACCCTTCAAGATGTCCATCTTTCATTGGAGGGACCCTGCAATCCAGGCGGTTCGAAACTTCTATGAGCGGACCTCGCCTGCAGCTATGGAGATTCTCCTCCGCACCACACACGATATAGCGTGGTCCTTGGGGCCATTTGGAGAATACTTCGGATCGTACAATTTTTGCTTCCTTCAATCTACTTGCCCGATGGAGTCAAGCCAGCCGATGGAAGCAGACATCATGACTCCCTTGCCCAACGAACCATGCGTTCCCGTGGATTGGAGCTTGATGATGACAAGCGCTGCTCAGAAGATGCTGTTTTTGCGAATCCTGTCCCATTGGGACATGTCGACAGCAAGCTTTCCGGTCCATCAGAAGAAACGATATAGGATGGCAGTGGAGGAGCTGCAGAAGCTTCGCAACATCATTGTCTTATACGAGCAAATTCGACACCACTTGAGATCGAGGTTGCCGCCTCATGTGGCTGATGAATGGGACCGAGATGTAACGTCGTCTTCTTGCCGAGATTCTGACCTTGCTGCCTTGCTTCAAGTTCGGCCTGCAAGGTTTGCCATTAGCGTGCTGCAGTCAGAGCAGCAGGCTGCCAAACAGGAGCTCATCAACGCTGAGCACAAGAAGGTGGAGGATAAGGCAGCACAGCAAGCAGAAGTAGACAATGCACAATTCGCTTTCTTCAAGGGGGCATTGAGTCGCGACCATGCCAAGATCGAACAGGCTCAACTGGCCCCCCGGCTGGTTAAGCAGAAACTCCATGCAAAGCAGGTGGCGCACAATGCAAAGCAGGCGGCTGAGGGCGAGTCCGCTTGCAGAGGATATCAGGACTTGGGTGACTGCTGAATCAATTGATCACCACAGTAAACTCCGTGCTTCAAAAAGATATATTTCTTACATGACTATACCAAAATGATCAAAGCATTGATGTTAAGAAGATGTGCAAATTGTGATACATGTTTTCTGGTGGAAGAAAGGGATATGGAAACATAGTGTGCATGTGGCTCACATTCTATGCAGGATACCTATCTCCGGGTCATTGCGCTTGACAAGATTGAGCACGCAGCAGCTGAGATCTCGAAAATGAAGCAGCACATGGATCCTTGGATGATGAGCTCAGCAAAGAAATCTAGCAAAAAGCACATGCTTTGACAGGTTTTTCCGCATAAGCCAAGAAACCTCCTGACTCACAAAATGCCCCAATCGTTTTGATTTTCATGTTGAGTCACATTGCAGCGAAGCATTGGGGCACAGAAATCTGACCTATGTTTGGGGCCTGCAAATCTGTCAATCCCTTCCGTTTTGTGTGTGAAAGTCCACACCGTTAAGGCCAATGTGACAAAAGTGTCGCCGGATTCCGTGCATGTGGTGGGATTTTGCGACTACAACGTTCCGGGTGCACGACAATCCACGAAGGCAGAATCCCTTGCGCAGGGAATCAGCCTGTGCAATGACATGGGCGTCCAGCGGCAGAATTGCAGCATTATCCTTCTTCCGGACAACGCGAAGGATTCATCCCTTCGGGGCCTGTGGGATGAGGAAAAGCAAATAATGGAAACATTGTTTGCTCAGAAGCAATCCGTGGATGTGCAATTCGTGGACCTTTTCACCAGGGACGCACGGACCGAGAATAGAAGCTCTATGAGGCGGTGGGCTGCAGGTCGCGTGGTGATCCATTGTGACACCAAGAGCGACAACGTGTGGCTGGATAGCGAGTTGGCCATATGCGGCCGCCCTGTTGGAAAGTGTGAGTCGGAGAAAGGAGCTCCATGCTCCATCCTCCCCCGTTCCAACATGTTGCTCCTTCCCGAGGCAGCGTCTCCAGACAGCGACCTCAAGCTCGCAGAGCGGGTGCGACCGAGCCCAGAGCAGACGTCAGCGCAAAAGGGGACAGCCCGTTTGGAGCTGCTTCTGGACAGCCTTTTCAGGCACACGAAGGTGCAAGAGCCCTGTCTAATTGTCAATTTGACTGGCTATGTAGAGGAACTTGCCACCAGTGTGCCTTGTTTGACAATCAGTTGATTTCAAACTTGAAACACTCAAAATGATCCAAAGACTCACACTAAGACCTTTCAAGGAATTGGGCATGTCTAAGACAATGTGCAATAAATGTCACAGAAAACTGCAATCTTTGAGCAGCTGTTGTTTTGCGGTGCGTTGCACATATATATTATTTTGAATCATATCCTGCCAAATTGAGGTGCTCAACCTCCGCATGAAAGGGCAAATGAGTGGCGATGGAGGAAACTTCAATTGGACCAACCTCTTCTACTTGAGCGTGCACACGCTGGACAGCAAGATGGGGTGCCAATACGCACGAACACGCGTCTCACGCGAGTTGCTGGATGCTTGGCTGTCCAGGCGAATCAGCTTCAATGGCAAAAAGTTCTCGGACGAACCTGTCACCTTGACAGATGAGGACCTTTCCGTTGCAAATTGATATGCTTTCAACTTGGCATTGTGTAGAACCATGTGGAACCCCTTGACCCATCTGTAGTTTTTCTTGGGTTCCTGTTGGCTCGCATGTTTTCCAGGAGTTGAAGCAGATTCCCGGAGCTGAGTGCGTGAGATCGGTTGATTCGCTCGGCCTTGAAGTCCTCGTCAGAGAGGGCACCAAATTGTCGATTCATCGTGATCAGGCGCGCCTTTGGCAGTCGAAGGAGAATTTCCAAGAAGAGTTCGAAGCTCTCCGCAAGACACATGTGGAAACCCATGAGATGATGCTCGCACCGATTATTCAGCAAAGCGCCTCCGGTGTCTCTTCGGAAGCCATTGTTGCGCATGAGGATGAGACGGGTGAGGATGATCCCGAACCAAACGAGGAGGAGGAGACTGGCCGCCCTAGTGCCCCCGAGCCTGTCACGTTTGAATCGCTTGACAAGCTCTTGGCGACCGATCCTTTGGTGGCGAAGACGGCATCCGAGATCAGTGGTGTTGAGATGATCAAGACAACCTCGGGGAGATTGTTCCTTTTGTCAGAGAAAACGAAAGCGATTCCGCGCTATGGCATTCTTGGGGGCTTTGGAACCGGGAAGTGCCCTATCTTAGCTTATTATTTTTTGGTATAATTGTTGCAGTGCAAGTGGTAGAATCAGTAATTTAATGCTTCAACATTTAACTCTGGCGGTTCCTTCAATCCTATGCCCATTCCCCTTTTGGGGGACCACCCCTAATCAGTGGCCGTAGCTGTGTTTATATTGCGTTTATTTTGTACCACCCCCAGGTACGTCCCGCAGGACGACGAGGGAGAAGGCTTGGCGGTTGATTGGCCTGCCGGTGATCGAACATTGGTACAAGTGGATCACAGCAGCATTTCGGCGGATGCATCCCATCAAGAAGTCATGAGCCTATACAAGTTCCTTACACATCTGGAACGCGTCAAGCGCCTCACCGAATACAAAATTTCCTACACAGATTGTGCCAGGTGTGGGGAAGGAGGTTCATCTTCTGATGGTTTCAACGTGTGCCTGAAGCAGCCGCACAAGTACAAGTTCTTGGGCAGTGCGGAGAAGGTTAGTTCAAAGTCGTTCTTCGGCCAGTCCATGGCAGCTGTTGAGGCCAGTAACACCATTGGAAAGGTGTTTCGCTTTCGGTTTGAGCGAGTCAATTCGTGCATCAAAATCCAGAAGCCATACTGTATGGCTCTGAAGGGCATGACTTTGAAAGCGAAGCAGCCCCTGCAGGTTGCCTGAAATTTTTGGTGGTGAGAGACGTTGAAAGCCTCTCGGTTCCTCTCTTGCACAGTGGATGCCCCTGGTCATGGTCGATTGTTGTAGTTCTTATCAAGAGTTTTCAACAGAAAGAATGAAAACAGGCTAATGCTTTTTGCCAGTTGGGTGGTGGGAGACTGTGCATGAACCAGCAACGGGGAGGTTGGAGTGACTGCATTCTCCTTAGATCGCCTCATGCTGATTTGGTCTGTTTGTGAGACCCGTCAAATTTGAACCAGCTTCCACCGTGTTGAATTTCATGAGCGCTGCCTGGCATGAGGCGCCGGAGCTGTATGTAGGACTAGGACACGAAACTTCTGGAGCGAGTGCAAAGTTTGCTTGAGCTTGAGCTCTTTCTTCGTGATGTTTTTGTTGCATTCGCTCTCCACTTCCGTCCACTTCTTTCTGCAATTTGAGCTGCTTGTGGATTGGCAGAATCCATACCACATGTCCAGTTTGAAAGCATTTTGGCTTTGCAACGGGGCTGTAAAGGCGGTTGCCACATTTCTCTCATGGCAGGGTTGAAGCTTCGATCGTGGATGAAGAAGCACAAAGCTTGGCTCAGGCGCAAACGATTGTTGAGAACTGAGGGGGCTGGTTCAAGTGTGGTCAAACCAATCTTGTCTGGTGAGACATTGGATGTCAATGTGCCTCCTCTACGCCGAATGACGCAGCACATTGACGAGGAATCCATTTGGGATGACCCTGACGGCACTGAAATCCACTGGGAATGGCCGATTGTGTACACCCTGGGTGAGAAGTTTCAGGCAGTTGAAGATGCGTTGAAGACAGGCTGGCCGCCAGTCTTGCTGCGGCAGGGTCCTGGCCCTGTAATTTATCCACATCCTTGGGGACCTGGCCCGCCATTGGATAGCATGCAGCATGCAAAGCGATGAGGGCAACCCAGCCTGATTTCGCGTTTAGTTCCAGATGTATTGCATGCCAGCAACGGGATAAATGATGCGTCCTTTCGATTTGCAGCGAGACAATTCAGTGGAGAGTTTGTCCAGAGTTCCTCCTTCTTGCATTCTATCCCTTTACTACCATACTATTAGATTTATGTTTGTGATTGATATGCGTGTTCTTCTGAAGATCCTTCTACGACCTATTATTTCCTTTTATATATTAGATCCTTCTTTCTCCAGAGATCCTTCCATATATAAATCCGATAGAGTCATGTTTGTATTTTATGTGTGTGTTCTTTTCGAGAGCTACTATAGAAAATGGAGTATGCTAATGCTTTTCATGGGGGAATCAACAGCAATGAGATTACACAAGGTAAAGTAGTAGAGCTGGAGGTTGTGACGATGCGATGAGTGTTGGCATGCAGCCGATGTTATGTCCAGCAAACAGGCATGCAAACAGACATGCAACACAAAGCCTGTCAAACAAGCCACACAAAAACCACTGAACCTTGTTGCACTGAAAACTTTTCCATGTTGCACTGAACCTTTCCTGTTGCACTGTTGCACTGAACCTTGTTGCAATGCAGCCTTTGAGCGATTCCGCGTTGCTGGAGCTGCTGGCAATCTATGTGAAGCTTTGCAATCAGAAGCCTTCGAGCTCCGAGAGCTTCGAGCTTTGCAAAGAGGTCGCGATCAAAGTTTGCCGAGAGTGCGGGATTTGGCAGAGCACTGAACCTTTGGCTTTCTTGGCGGTTGGAGTGATCGCTGTCCAAGCCCGAAACGAGCTGAAGGCAGACAATTTTGACGAGCGCATCACCGTTGAAAGCCTGGGCACTGCTGGTGTCCCACCACGATACATTGGGTCATTGTACGGGCTGCGTGAGAGCAGGCTGTTGATGGACGAGTGCAACTCTGTCACTGCCTTTCTGCGCGAGATGCTGTGGAACGAGGTGAAGAATGCGGAGCTGTTTGCCTTGGTGTCGAACGTCCTCCTGGTTTTGGAGGACATTTGGTTCATTTGCATCGTGCGCAAGAATGATGACGAGGAGATTCGACGTTAGAGTTCGAATGGCTTCGAGCGGCTTCGAGCTTCGTTAGATTTCGAATGCTTATTGAATGGTTTTTCAAAGTTGGAAGTGTGCAGCTGCAGCTTTATTCCTTGTCACAGCGCTACTCTTCTCGTGGAGCAAAAGAATAAGTCTGATGTGGAGCTGTTGTATAGGGTTTTGTGCCACATGTTTTTTGATCTAAGGGTTTCTCCGACTGCGTGTTTTTTGAACAAACTTACCAGCTGTCAATTTCTTACACTTTTGAGAAGAGCCATTCATTTCCAGTGCCGTGCAGCTGCATTGCCACTAACAGTTCAACTCATGTTGTAAGCCCAGCCATCTTTGGTTTTGTCATGCTGATTTGAACAAAACAGTTTGAGGCTCATTGAACATCATGTTTCCTGTGCTGTCGAATTGAACTGAAACAACCAGTTGGAGACATGCCCCAATGCTCGTAGCTGTTTGCAAAGCAGTAGCCTAGTAGCTAGACCTAGGCGCAAATACCATAGAAACTCATGGCCGCACCTGGGAACCATGACGCTTTGCGACGAATGATGCTGTTAAACCTGACTGCCTCCCATTCTCACGATGAGCAAACTTGGTCACCTTCTCACGAAGCACGTGTTGCTGCTGACTCGGGCTTTGGGCGGAGGAACCTTCTGGATAGCTTTATGGGTGACGCTCAAGACCCTGGTGTCCATCAGAGTGCTGCCTTTGACTCTCCTCCTGAACCTGGTGTCACTGAGAGTACTGCAAGAGTTTCCCATGCCAACTCTCCCGAAAAAGTTCCAGAAGAAGAACCAACGCCTCGAGCTATGATAGCAGAAAAGAGTCAAAGCGGTGATGGTGATCCTACGCGCGACACTCCTGAGCCAGATAGCCAACAAGGCATTTTTTTGGAGTCAGACGTTGAGAACACACCACCTCAGAGGAAATCTGCGCTGAGAAAGCGCCCTGCAGCTCAGACCTCTTCTTCTAGCAAGGTTTTGAAGCGGCCTGCAGCTGCACCTGAAGCTGCTGCTGAAGCTGCTGAAGCGGTGGAAACTAGCCCTGCGAGCAAGGTTTTGAAGCGGCCTGCAGCTGCACCTGAAGCTGCTGAAGCGGTGGAAGCTGGCCCTGCTGCGAAGATTTGGTGCCCCAAAGCCGACTACTCTTACACTGATACGAGTGGGCAATGGAAGGCGTGTTCTGTTCACAAAAAATGTGATTCTTATACCTTCAAGAAGACATTTGATGTTCTGGAGCAGTTGTTTTTCAAATAAGGTGATATTCTGATATTTGTCAAAATGTGAGACATATCTTTATTCCCTTTGCCATGTGGTCGAAAGGTGCTATAAGGAATGCAAATCGAAGGCTTGACTTTATAGGGCCTTAACTTTTTTGTTTTGGCAAATCCCATTGTGTTGTTGAGAAAATCTCATGACCCTTGACGGCAGGTGTTTGTGCACACACGCCGCAAAGGCGGTCTCTCGGGTGAGAAGTGGCGAATCTACGTTCACTTGCCAACAGAGCGCTCCTTCAAGTCGCTGAAGTCTGCTTTGCAGGAAGGGTTCCCTCGTTCTGAGTGCAGAGACCCGAATGTAGATTGAGTGGCCACAAGATGATGGCAGACCACTTGGCATCGGGACCAAGTTAGTTTTGTTGTCGTGCCCTCTCCTGGTGCAAAAACCGAGTTCAGTCTTTGCACATTTTCAGCATTGCTTTGGAAGAGTCATTGCTGTCGATTGAAAACCATGTGTTTTAATGGCTTCGCCAACTGAGCTGATTTTTCATCAGGTGTTTTTCAGTGTTAGCTTTACACATATTACATCAGGTGTTTTTCAGTGTTAGCTTTACACATATATCTGCAGTTATGAATGGATATGCGCATGTGTGCAGTTATCGTATCATAAAGACGAGCAGTAGTGTCGTACAAGAGTGCTCCAAAAAAGTTGTCCACCGAGTGTGCCCACCAAAATACCTCACGCGAGCACCCCACAAGATTTTTCCACGAGAGTGCCCCCACAAGAGTGCCCCCTGCAAGACTTGACCCAGAATGGCCGACAAGAGTGGCAGCCAGCCAGATTCTGTCCCACAAAACAAATGTCCCACAGAGTGTGTCCCACAGAGTGTGCACCACAAGACTGTACGACAAGAGGGCCCCCCAACAATGCCCGACCAAACAGCCCTACAAGAGCTGCCTGTGGTGCATAAAGACTGAGAGTCCTCCTGGAGTAGTATCGCGCAAGCGTGTGCCACATCCGTAACAAGTGTCACCAAACAGAAAGTTCTAAGAGTGTCTTGGGGTGTCAAGCAAGACTGTCAAGCGGGTTTGGCATCACTGCTGGACCTGTAATCACGCAGAGTCTTTCGCTTGAACCGCCTTTTGTTAACTTTACAGCAAGGGGTGCCGGGGGTGCGGTTGGCAAACAAACACGCTCATCATTTGACTGTGATACTTGGGATGCTCACTCAAGCCCCTCCGCCTTTTGTTAACTTTACAGCAAAGGGCGCTGGGGGTGCGGCTGACAAACAAACACGCTCATCAGTTGATTGTGATACAATTGGGATTGTCGTCAAGCTCCTTTGGGAACACTCAAACCCACAAACCCCAAAACACCAAGTAACTTGAAAACACCAAGTTCCAAGAAAGTAGATTGAGGTCGTAGGCATGAGCAGATGGACCGACGACGTGTTTGCAGCAGAAGCGTGGCAGATCTATGAATTCCACGCCAACGTTGTTCATCCGATGATGATCACTGCAATCCGCTGCGGGCTTAGCCATAAGTACCTCAAAGAGGTCGGCAACACACTCAGCGTAGCATGAGTGATCCAAAGGCTCGAAAGTCTGAGACCCAGGATGAGATCATCGAGAAATTGGCATTCATCTCAAATTTCATCAGACGCATGATCAAGAAGACCTTCGGAGCGAGCCGATATAGTTACTACCAGAAACCAGATGACGAAAGTGCCGCTCCATACAAGTTCATCGACATTAGTCCTGCCATCAAATCGGAGAGGAAGAATGTCACGAAGGAGATCCTCGTTG